CCGACATCCTGTCGAGCGGTCGCCCTCGAGAACACAGCAAGAGATGTCAGGGACAGAATATATATATATATATATTTATATATATATATATATATATATATATATACACATACATACATACATACATACATACATACATACATACATACATACATACATACAAGACTGCACTGGCGCTTCATGCCATGCGCCTCGTTCCGGACGCTTCTCGGAAAAACAAGAAGTCATCGCGTGCTTCAGCAGAGGGGCCGTCGAGACCACGAGTACGACCACGATCGCGAGGACTACCGCCACCACCACCGCCAGCGCCACCACCACCGAAACCACCACCACGACGACGACGACGACGCAGACGACAACGACGACGACGACGATGGGGCTCTCGTCTGAACTGCAGATGGGGCGCTCGTCTCTCGAGGGCATCTGGAAGCTCATGATTGGACCAGAAGCGCTCAGAAACTTGGCCCTTCCTCGTCGTCGTCGTCCTTCTCCTCCTCCTGCTCCTCCTGCTCCTCCTCTCGGGCAGGCCGCGGGAGCGAACGCTCGGGGCGTCAGTAAGCGGGCTACGCAATAATGAGGCGGCAGCCCGCGATGACAGGCCGAGACCTCCTGCTCCTCCGTAGGACGACGACGACGACGACGGCGGCGGCGGCGACGATTGGTCGCTTCCTGAATGCCTGGAGGGGTCCTGGACGCTTGTGGGGCTTCTGAGGTCCTTTCGAACCACCGTCCTGCGAACTACGGCCTCGTGGACTGTAAGAGAACTGCTGAACTGTATTGGAACGGTGTGGGCTCGCGTTTGAGCTCCTGGTGACTCTCCGGACCAGAAGACTCCTTTTGGGGCTGTTTTGGGCCGTCTTGGAGCCCTCTTGGGCCGTCCCGGAACCCTCATTTGGCCGTTTTGGGAGGCCGGGCCGGCCAGGGGCTTTTCGGGGGCCCTCTTGGGACACTCTTGGGGGCCTCCTGTGGCTCTCTTGGGGCTCTCTTGGGAATTCTCGGGGCCCTCTGGGGCCCCTCTTGGGCCGTCTTGGGCTTCTCTTGATCCGTCTTGGAGCTCTTTTGGGCCGCCTTGGGCCGCTCATAGAGGCCTCGGAGGCCGTCCTAAGGCGATCTTGAGTCTCTGGGGATGCCGTGGACGCCGTGAAAGCGGAAAAAACTAATATCTTCAAATACGTCTGTTTCCTCAGGGAATGGGACGATTCTTGGTCCGTGGGGGCCTCGTGGGTGTCTTGAAACCATAGTGGGTCCTCTTTGAGCGCTGATGGGCCGTCTTGGGGCCCGTTTTGGGCCCGTGGGCTCCGATCGGCAGGGGCGTCCAACTGCCCGGAAGGCCGCCGGGACTCCAAAAGGGCGTCCAGGGCGTTCGTTGGGTGGAGGGCAGGGGCGTCTGGGGTGTCCTGGGGGTGGTGGTCCGGTTTCGGGGGGGGTGGGGGGGGGTTCGGGGTAATAACAATATAAGAATAGGGATGCACATATGTATGCGTTTTCCTCTGCTTCCTTGCTGCGCTCCTCTTCGAGCAAGCATCAAAATCGTGATTCTCGCTCGCGGCCTCCCGACGAACCGATCTTGCCAAATTCCTATCATTTTCCGCAAATCACTGCGCGTCCCCCGCCGTGCAAGCCTCACTTTCGTGCCAAATGCCATAGAATCCACAACGGCTGCACCGCTGCCATGCCCGCCGTCATCCTCATCACCACCAACATGTCGCCGTCTCTGTTGCCACCCTGTTCACCACTATGGCGATCACTACGAGAGGTCTTGTCAGCCGAAAGACGTCACAAGACATCGAAAGCATAATCTCCCCTGTCACAAGAAGGACCCACGAGATGTCAAAAAGGCCCCAAGAGGCAAGCACCATGGTTTTCGTTCCCAAATCAATTATTGGAATGCACTTCGCGGCCTCACCGGCCCAGAATGGCCGAATAGGCCGTCAATAGGGCCCGGAGGCGGCCCAAGATGACCCTGAGATGGTCCAATATGCCCTGAGACGGTCAACAAGGCCCTTAAGAGGGGCCCTAAAAGGTCTTAGATGGGGAACTCGCAGGTACACTGGGAGCCCTCCCCCACGAGATGGCCCCCAAGACTCACAGCATGTCCCCATACAGGTCCCCAAGCAGCCCCTAGAGGTCCCCCGAAAGCACCCAGGAGCCTTGAAAAGGCTGCAAAAGACCGCCTTCTGGTCTTCCAAGATGCCTCCAAGAAGCCCAGCAACAGGCGCCGAGGAAGAAAACAACGAATCAACAAAAACCACGCGCAGGCATCTCGACGGGAAACGGCGAACATCGCATACAATATCGGATCTCTTCTCATGGAGGTCGGCGGAATGGCCCAAGCCTCTTGAATCATTCACAGCCTGAGGCTCTCTCAATGACTTCGGACTTCTGTCTCTTTGGCTCCCTGATGTCTTTTCACCTCCCAGGAAGGTCCAACACCGCACAATCTGGTTCAAAGCTGAGACTGAAAGGGCTTCATGAGTGCTCATAATAGCACGATGGGTTCGTGTGGCGTCGGCGCGCGCCAAAGGTTTTTGACACCGCGTCGATCGTTCAACCTTGAATCGATCGCGGCCCCGATCGTTCAAAATTGAATTCAGTCGGGTCCACTGGCATTGCCGTGTCCATCGGTGCTTCCGCGTCCCAGAATTCAACCTTGAACGCCTTCGCCAGCGTCGCCGACGCGCCAACGCCTCATGAACCTACCGTACAACCGTCTCCTCAGAAAAGCCCCAAAGAGCTTTATCAGTACTCGGGACGGCAGCCCTCCCTTCGCAGGATAGCACAACCTGTCTTGGCCTTTCGTTGCGGTGCGCAGGGCTCCGCTGTGAAGCATGTGTTGACGCCAGGGGCAGTTATTTCCAATTTACAATCGCAAGGTGTGGGGGGGCCACTTGCGCCAAATTGCCAAAGGTAAGGTCTGTGGATGATGGTGACGTGTGCTACAGCCCTCACGGCACGGGACTAGGGATCCATAGGCAACAGGCCCCAATGTGTCCCACAAGACCTCCCCCCAAAGCCCCAAAGTAGCACCAAGACTGTCCAAGATGGTCTTATACAGCCCGAACTATGCCTCCTTGAGGTTCAATTCGTTCAAATAAATGGTTTGTTTTGGTTGTCATGTTTTTGTGGTGCTCTCCTTCCTGTATTCGATGGGCTTCTAAAGCCACGAGGTGGCCTCACCATCGCCCAAGAGAAGCTCCAAGTGGACACCAGAAGATCTGGAACAGAGAGCCTCAACAGAGCTCTGACAAAATACCAAACAAGACAAAGACACGCCTAAAAAATAGCCATGGGCATCACAGCCCAAGGCGCCTCCAAGAATCCACATTCTCCAAATGGCCCACTACAAAACCCAAGCGACCCCCGCGAGTCCCCAGACGTCCTGGGACACGTACAACGAGCGCCCGGATTCTCCCCGTAGACTTCCATGAACGCCCCAGGAACCCCCCGTGCCCACACATACAATCCCACGTCTTCATAGAAATCAGCGCTCCGTTCCGCGTGGTCTAGTTGACCTTCGAAGACACCTTACGCTCTCATCTGTGGCACTTCCCACTACACCCAAGTACCATCAGAGATGATTGAGCGAAGTTGTTGAAATAATCTTAGCCAGAGTGGACCCAAACATAGTAGTCCTTTCCCACTCGATGTGCAACCGATGTGTCGCACGCCATGCGATACGTTCTGCTGGTCGTGCAGCCCGTGTGCTGCTAGTGCGTGGTGCAAGCTGTGTGATGCAACATGTGTGGGGCAAGATGTGCGGTGCCTATACGTGTGGTGCAAGCTGTGACGTGCAAGCTGTGCGATGCCGTCCGCGCACGGTGCAGTGCACCGTGCCGCCGGCCGTGTGGCGACAGCTGCGTGGTGCGAGCTGCGCGGTGCAGGCCGTGTGCTGCGGGCTGTGCGGTGCAGCCTGCGCTGCGAGCACCGCGGTGCAGCCCGTGCGGCTGCGGGCCCCGCGGGCGCCCACGGAGCGCCCACGGGCGGCAGGCCCGCGAAGCGCCCACGCGAGCGGGCACCAGGCGAGAGCACGGGGAAGCACACCCAACGCACGGCGCGCCCACCGGGGCGCCCGCCCACGGGCGAGCACCGAGGCAAGGGCCCCCAGAGTGCACGCACCACTCCGGGACTGTTCATCCAGCCGTATGGCGCCAAGCTCAACTGGGTGCAGCAATTCTGCGGTGGGGGGGGGCGGGGCTCGTTTCAAGGCGCGGTCCGCGCCGCAGGTGTTCTAAAACTGCGGGCGTCGTGCAACACGCAGGCCGATGGAAAGCGGCTTCTCGTTGGAATGGGGCTCTCGCCGGATACTCCTTGGTACTTCATGACCCTGCATGATGATGCGTCCTACAGCCGCACGACACGATAAAGGTTCCGATCCAAAACGGGGCTCTCGCCTGACTGGCAGGCCCATTGGGCGTTTGTCTCTCAACAGGTGATGGAGGGTGCATCACAACATCGTTGATGCATCCTGGATTTACTCTGGTCTTCCCGTTGTCCATGTCCTAGCCTTCTCTACGTGCACATGAGTTTAACCACTCACACATTCATTTTCATAGTAGACGCATACGACAAGACATCCTGCCACCAGAAGTGTAGGGCACGTTTGTCGTCGAGCCTTGAGCTTCCCGAGTTGCCCCAAGGCTTCTGTGGGGCACCTGCTGTTAGGTTGGTTTCTTATTTGGCGCTGCTACTGTACAGCGCATGCGATGGACAGATACGAATGTGCAACTATATACATAGGTGTACACACATATCTGTATGTCTGTACACAGATGTGTACATACACATGATTACGTATATGTCTACATGTCTGCATGCAGATACAGCTATGTTGGTATATGTACGCGTGCACGAACACTTTCAACCAATAACTAATACAAATCATGACATGCTATAATTTATACTTTCCCAACAACGACTTTCGCCACTGCTGCGTCTGGAGGCCTGGGATGGGAAACGGCACGAACATCAATCCTCCGCGGCCGCCAAGGGGGGCAGCCGGCCTCCATGCCGCACCCGGTGCACTCCCACATCCTCGGTTGCGACTTCGTCCGCTGCGCCGAGGTGGAGTGGTGCGGGCAATATCTGGCCGGGGCGGCTGGGAGGGCGGAGAATGTCGGGCTGCACGTCCTCACGTCGCTGGAGAGGAACAACCAAACTGAGCATGCCTTTTGGAGTTCCGAGCCGGTTTCTTGGATCGGCGCTAAAGCCCCTGGCGGCGCCTCTGACAATTCATGATTATACAAGTTTTGTTTTTCTTCAGGTCCTGGAGAAAGAGGGCGTCGTTTGCTGGAAACTCAAACAAATTTACTTGCATGGCATTCCCCGTCCCCCTTCTCCTTCCCCCTGGGCGCCGCCGCGTGCAAGTCAGTTCTGTCTTGCGTGAAATCCAAAACTTGTTTCGGGCCTCGCCACGCCCCTCCCCCCCGCGCAAGCAAACTTGCCAAGATCTCCAAAGCACAAGCTCCAAGCATGACGGCATTTTCTGATAAAGAACATGACATGTTCAGTATCTGGGGGCCACTCCCAGGCCCCAGGATAGTCAGCAGACGGCTCAGGATAACACACAGTTAGGGAAACGGATCCAGACATCCTGAGGTCCACGCTGTGCTTAAAGATAACGACGTCGGGGGTCTGGGGAGCGGGGGTGGTGGTGATGTGGGGGGGAAGGAGGAAAAAAGGACGAGGGCTGTAGGGGTTCTAATCGCCACACGGTTGCTCAAACATATGTACAGGCTTCACAGGCTCTAGGGAAGATGGGGAGGAGGCGCGGGCAATGTTGAAGCGGAGGAGGGGAGGGAGAGGAGGAGGATGGAGGGATGAGGTGGATGAGGAATAACTAAGACGAGCAGTCGGAGGTGGAGGAGCAAGGACGCACGTGGGGAGGGGGGACGAGGAGGAAATGCGGAGGCGAGAGGCAAGTATACAATGTATACGGGGGACAGCGAGAAATGCTTTTTGCAGGCCCTGGGCCCTGGCGCGCCCCCCTAGATTCAAACAAATAGCAACACAACCGCGTCCGCTGTGTTTTTTTTGCGACGCGAGGGAAAGGGGAGGCGCATGTCGGCGGTGAGCCCAGGGGGAAACTGAGAAAGGGCACGCCTTCCCCAAAGGCGGCGGGGTGCCTCCGCAAATCCTCCCAAGCCTTGTCAGAAGCCGCCTCCGTCTTCGGAGCAAGTCCGCAGCCTCTGGCGTCCAGGCCGTCTCGGCTCGAGCACGCCCCCAGCCCAGGTGCGCGCTCTGGCTGCGGCGTCGTGAAGACCGTGGCGGCGCGGCGGCGACGGCAGCGGGCGTCCGCTGCCAGCGCCGCGGGCGCCGTGGGCGCGCGGCCGGCGCCGTGGGCGCCGCGGGAAGCTCGGACCCCGCGCGGGCGCTGCAGGTGCTGCCAGCACCTTCGGCGCTGCCAGCGCCGCTTGTGCGCCTTCGGCGCCCTCGGCGCCGCTGGTGCGCCGCGGGCGCCGCGGGCGCTGCGGGCGCCGCCGACGTCGCGGGCGCCCTGGGCGCCGCCGGCGTTGCCAGCGCTGGCTTCGCCGTGGGCGCTCTGGGCTGCGACGGCCGCCCTTTCCCGTGCGGCGGCAGCTGCGGCCCGCGCTGCCGCCCAGCCTTGTGCGCCACCTGGGCGTGGCCGGCGAGCATGCAAATGTAGGGAGCCCAGAAAGGACGTACGCGCCCAGCTATGTACATGAACACGGCCCCTCGGTCCGCGAGACTGGCCGCGTTACACGAACATTTGCGCAGTGCGTGCCCTCGAAACCAGCGTGGATTCATGTACGTGTACGTCCTTCTGTCGCTCCTGAAAATGGAGAGCAGTGGCAGCTGGCCGCGGCGCCACTCAACGATGATGCGGCTTGCGAAATCTGAGCCCGACAAGTTCAGCTACAGTGCCAGAGTGAGCGAGTGCGGAGTTGGTGAGCAGCGGCACCGGGCCGTGCCGCCGCTCAGCAAGAAGTTGGCCCCAAGTCAGAGCCCAACGCGATCAGCGACGCTGCTGGAAGCAGCGATTACAGGAGCAGTGAGTAGTGGCAGCTTGCTGTGCCATTGCTCCTCGAGACGCGGTTCGCAATGTCTGAGCCCGACGCGACCCCAGACATGCGACGTGCTGATTTTTTCAGGACGGCGTCCCCGGAAAACCGGACCCGTTCCCCAGGACCGGCTTTTCATCCTGAGTCGTTTTTTGACGCTCCCGAGGCCCGGCGAGGGCCCCCAGGGCCCGAAAATGGTGAGAAACCACTCGTCTTGATTTTTTTACGACGCGATCATGTCTGGGACCATTTGCAGTGCCAGGGTCAGCGAATGCGACGCTCTCGGCGGTCCCTCCAGCAACTCCAGGACGCAGAAATGGAGGCCATCGCTCCCCTCGGGCCCCTCTCGGGCGTTGGCAGAACTGTGTATTTAGTGGGACCTGGTTTCGTGATGTGTGCTGGGGGACGCCCACCCCGCCCCTTCCCACTGACCCCAGACATGATCGCGTCGTGAAAAAATCAGGACGGGCGGTTTTTCACTATTTTCGGGCCCGGGGAGGCCCTCGCCGGGCCTCGGGAGCGTCAAAAAACGACTCAGGATGAAAAGCCGGTCCTGGGGAACGGGTCCGGTTTTCCGGGGACGCCGTCCTGAAAAAATCAGCGCGTCGCATGTCTGGGACAAGAACTGCCGTCACCCGAAACAAAACACCAGCTACGGCAGACCTGGTTTGGTGATTCTAACCAATTTTGGGGCTCCGAGGCCCTACCACTAACCGGGTCCCCTTACCTGGAGACCGTTTTTGTTGAATCGGCGATAACCCGGGTTGTCCGTGGGGGGGAGGAGGGGTCCGGCCGATAACCTCACCTTCGCGCTGTGGGCACGCCTGCGTATGCCCGCGCCCCCCCCACCCCGGACCTGCACAACCGGCAAGGTTAGGCTATCCTGGGGGGGCAAGCCCGATAACCTGGTTTATCGCTGGACCCAAAAAACAATCTCCCCAGACCCCCGACGTCATGATTTTTTCATTGCGCGACCCCCAGAGGTCCGGACCTATTCGCCGGGACCGGTTTTTCATACCGAGTCGCTTTTTGACGGTCCCGAGGGCCGGCCAGGGCCCCCAGAGGCCGAAAATAGAGAAAAACCTTCCGTCGTCAGAACTCGAGGGGGTCTGGGTCCTGGGGTCCTGGCCATTCTCCGACCCTCCAATGGCCATCAAAAAGGCGACCGGGCAAGCGCGGGCGTGCGGGCGCGCAGGGGGGCTCTCGGGAGGCCTCGATGGTGGCGGGCCGCTGGAAGGCCCGGCGCTCGCGGCCCTCCGGGAGCAGTAGTTAGAGGCCTCCTGGATGGGGTCGGAGCAGACGGGGTCGGAGGATCGCGCCGCATCGGCGACACATCGGCGATGCATCGGCGATGCACTGGCGATATATCGGCGACGTCGGCGCTGCATCGGCGACGTCTGCGTGGAGAAGACCGGGCTCCGCGTCGAGCCGCATGGGCGATGCGGCGCGCCCAGCTACTCCGACCCCATCTATAGGAGGCCTAGAAGCAGGCCGGTTGTTCGCGGGTGGGGTCTTCCGGAGGCGCGCGGAGGTTGGCGATGCAGACGCGCCCAATGCACCCTGCGGTCCCGATGACGACCGGGCCCCCTGCCCTGGGCACGCGCCTCTGGATGGCTGCTTTCCCACGTCGCTTGTCCCGGCCGTTTGGAGGTGGACCTCCCTGGATCTGGCGCAGGTATGACGCCTGCACTTCACCTGGAGATGCCAGGGCTTTTTTTGCCTCCCTGGTCGCTTTCGCCCTGCGGCGCCCTCGCGCCGTCCTTCCTGCCCACCTCTTCCTCCTCGTTTCCCGCGCTCCCCCCCCCCCCCGCCAGCGCCGCCACGGCGCGGCCTCGCCAACTGACCCTGGCCACAGCCTCGCCGGCTGTCTGCACCGATGCTGCGCGGCCTGGCCCGGCACGGGTGCACCAGGTGGAGCGCTTCGGCAAGGTCTGCAGCGACCTCTCCACCCACTGCCTGGCGGATCCTGGCACCCAGGGGCTTTTCCCGGATGGGCGCCGTGCTTCTTAGGGTGCCAGTGCTTGCCCATACCGCCCCTGCTGCTTCCCCGCACGGCTGCTCCCTGGGCGCCCCTTCACCTGGCTTGGCTGGGACGTGATCGGCTTGCCCCCCGGTTCCGCTCGCACCTCGCCTCGCCAACCTTCGAGGGCGGCATGCGTGGCTCCACCCTCATGCTTCGTCATGGCCTGAGCGTGGCTCCCTCCCCCACGTGGGCCCTCCCCGGCACGCCTTCCCGCGTCCCGCGCGCGCCTCCCCCGGCCCCTCGCGCCTCCATTCGCCCTCGGTGCACCCCACCATTGCTCGGACGCTGCTTGATCCCTCGCGGCCACTGGCCCCAAAATCTGCCTGCGGAGAAGGCTTCGCAAGCTCCTCAGAAGGCCAGAGGGAAGCCCCGCCCACCCTGAGGCCCGCCGTTGCCAAAAAACATGGGACATCGCAGAACTTCTGGACCCCATCTTTCTGCGTCATTCTTCGAGCTGGATCGATCTGTGAGAGTCCCTGGGCCCGAAATTGAGCGAAAACGCCCGGTGTAAAACAATTGCAACGCCAGGATCTCAGAGCATCCTGCCTTCCCCCTGGTCGCGACGCCGACCTCAACGAGGGGTAGGGAAGGCGCAGAAGGCGCAGGCCGAAGGGAGCGCAAGCGGGCGACGCGGAGCCCGAGCAGGTGCAGGCCCCCCGCAGAGGGCCTCGGCGGCACCATGCCCGGAGCCAGCTGGCAGCGCGGCACCGGCGGGTCCTGGCGCGAGGGTGAGGAGGGACAAAGATATCACTGCACCGACCTCGCAGGCGTGCTGCAGTGGATTCGTTCCGTGGATTTCTGTCAATGCAAGTGATAAGCGAAGTGAATTTCCTGGCCAAGAAAAATCCGCCCGAAATCCACTTCAAACTCCGGAAAGAGATTCTCTCCAGGGCAATCCGGGCCGATCCCCTGGTCTCCCGAACGAGATCCGCTCTGCGATGCTGGTGCCCTGAACGACGGGGGGCACCGATCGGCGCGACAAGCTCGAGGCTTGGGTAGAGGCCTCCTAGATGGGGTCCGAGTAGATGGGGTCGAAGGATCGCGCCGCATCGCCAATGCATCGCCGATGTATCGGCGATACATCGGCGATGCATCGGCGACGTCGGCGTGGGGAAACACGGGCTCCACATCGAGCCGCATCGTCGATGCATCGGCGATGCGGCTCGATCCTTCGACCCCATCTACTCCGACCCCCTCTAGGAGGCCTAGATTGGGGGATTTCGGAGGCCTTCGTCGGCTCTCGGCGGCTCTCCGGCCTCGGGGCGCCTTCCAGCGGCTGCGCCTCGCCGGGAGCGTACGCCAGGGATGCCCGGGCCGTCACGCACGGCCGCCGGAGGCCCGAGCTATGTGGCCCGAGGGCCAGGGATCTCCCAGATCTCCGACGATGTGACCTTGCAGTCTGTGGGTGGTCTCCTCGCGTGAGGGGGGCAGATGATATTCGGGGGAAAACAAACCTACCTCGCTTTTGACCACCCTCGCTTCCAAGAGATACCAAACGATGCCAAATTGCGGCCTGTCCTGGTCAGGCCGCTTGACGAGGAGGCGCGTGGTATGGCTTGGTTTTGCCTGGAAGCGAAAGCGGGGGAGGTAATTCACGCTCTGAGATATGGGGGCGAGGGCCAGCTCGGGAGTCGAAACATCGAGCTGGACTCGGCGACACGTGGCCGATAGATCGGCGAGGGGCCCCCGATAGCGGATCCACACGGTCCTGAGTGGGGCGGGCCATCGGGTCTCGTATCGGCGATCAACGGGCGATTCGGGGTCGGCGCATCCCCCCTAAGCGTCTCCCCCCCTAATTTTGCCCCCGAGGTGGTGAAGCGGACGAGAACTAGGAAGATCAGCACTGGGAGGACTAGAATGTACAGTAGACACATACGATAAGAAATCTTGCTGCGAGAAATCTGGGGGCACGTTCTTCGTTGATCCCTGGACTTCCTGAGATTCACCAAGACTTCTGGGGGTTTCTGGAGCCATCATGGGATAAGACATCTCTGTGGGGCACCTGCTGCCAGGCTGGTTTCTTATGTGGTGCACCCACTGCACCGATACCGCTGCTTCTGGACCTCTCCCACGGCGCGTGCTGGCATGTCCTAGGCGAGGACGATCTTAGGGACGCGCCCTCGGAAAAAAAAAACATATCCTCAAGATCGGCACGGAGAAAAGGGACCGCCAAAGCTAGGGTCAGGGAAATGTCTCAGGCTGGTAAGTGAGGGCCAGATCATATCAATTCGGAACAGCGCCGACATCTCACTCTCACTTCTGCCCCCTTCCGCCAACCTTCCGCTGGCCTTCCGCTGGCTTCGGCCGGCGGAGCCGCCGCGTTTTGCTTTCGCTGGCTTCCGCCGAGGGCAAGACGCGACGACGGCGAGGTCCTCTCTGGAACGCCTCGACGTTCCACCATGGTGGTGAGCCCCAGACACCATCAATCAGCACCGAGTCGGAACATCGGATCGAACAGGAGCGTGCGTCGGATCGGGCCGCATCGGCATGGAGTCGGAATTGAATCGGACCTGCTGCACGAGGATGCGCAACAGCGCCATGCAAACATCGGGCCACATCGGATCGCCGGATCATCGCAGTCGCATTGGATCGGGCTGGCCAGGATCGATGTCGAATCGTAGTTGATCGGATCGATATGGCTCCCGCGCTCTCAGGTCTTCGATGGACCTCGAGGCTTGCAGCTTCGGCAGGGCCCAATCCTGTTGTCGGGGGTATCAGAGGGTCTGAAATGAGGGCTCCCGAAGGTTTCGGACAGAGGGCGGGGTTTGGGATTTTTTTGGAACGGCTCGGGAAGTCTCTGAGGGGATGGGCCCAGGGTTTAGGGGACCCACGCCCCCGGCGTCATGTCTTTGGCAACGTGAGAACCCCGATGTCTAGACATCTTTCCTGGGACTGGCTCTTCGCCACGAGCCGCTTCCCGCAACGCCCCCCAGAAACAAGACACAGTAAGAACCTTCCGCCTCCGCTTCGTTATGCTTCTCCAACACGCGAGGAGGTCTGCAAACACACATGGCTAAACTCGCACTTGGAACGTCCGGAGCCCACGTGCGGGAGACACACGCGGGAGCCCAGCCCACACGGCCATAGCAGGGACCAACGCTGGAAAAGGCACCTGGCCTCCGGTGGCGGGCACTGCAAGCTCTGAACCGAAAAATTGTTCATTCGGCTAGACGCAAGAGTGACCCTGGGTAAGATTGACCTCTGGTGCGCGGCCTTAGAGGGGCTCGAGGGGGCCAAACCCAAGCGCGCCAGCCGCTGCTATCGCATCGCGCTCAGCGATCGCGGGGGGCCCCGATGAGCCCGCACCAGAGGTCACTCCGGCGAAGGGTGACTCTCACGTGTAGTCGGTCCATCTCTTGGGGGCACATCTCTTACTTCCGTCGGCCTCCGCCGGCCTTCCGCTGGCTTCCGCCGGCCGTCCGCTGGCTTCCGCAGGCCTTCCGCCGAGGAAGAGATGCCACTTCCTTCGACCCTCGGAGGCGAGGCCTGTTCTGGAGCGCCCCGTGCGTATCCAGCTCTCGCCCAAGCCGGCCGCGCCGTGCGTGTCCGGCTTCCCGGTGTAGAGTTGTTTTCTTACCTAGGCTCTGCCTAGAAGGGTTCTTACTCGGTTTGCTCAAAGGGCCGGGCAGTGGTCCTCGCCCCGGGCGGTTCCCCCAGGATCCGCCCCGCGGTTCCCCCAGTTGCGGCCCCCTGGGTTCACCCAGCTTAGCTAAGCTAAGCTAAGCTTTGCTTAGCTTAGCTTATCTCGTCTTAGCTTAGCTTAGCTTAGCTTAGCTTAGCTTAGCTTAGCTAGGCTTAGCTTAGCTTGGCTTAGCTTAGCTAGGCTTAGCTTAGCTTGGCTTAGCTTAGCTTGGCTTGGCTTAGCTTAGCTTAGCCTAGCTTAGCTTAGCTTACCTTAGCTTAGCGCAGCATATCGCAGCGCAGCATTAGCACAGCATAGCATAGCATATAATAGCATAACATAGCATAGTTCAGCATAGCATCGCATATCATAGCGCAGCATATCATAACATAGCATGTCAGTTCATATCATAGCAGATCATATATGTGGATGTAGATGTAGGTGTAGATGTAGGTGTATAGGTAGATGTAGATGTTAGTCTCGCTGTTGATGTTGATGTAGATGCAGGTGTAGATGTTAATGTAGCTGTCGGTGTAGATGTAGGTGTTGCTTTCCTAGATGCTCCAACTCCTAGGTAGGGTCGCACTGGGATAATTCTTGTCTGTGGAACCAAGCAAAAGGGGGCGCAGAGGCAGGCCGCCGCGCAGGTGGGGGAGGGGGAGGAGGACGCCCAGGGCCGTGATGATGGCGTGGTGTTGAGGCAGGTGCGGAGGAGGAGGCAGAGGAGGAGGAGGACGAGAACGAGGAGCCGGAGGAGGCGGAGCAGGATGAGGATGGGGACGGGGATGGGGACGACGATGATGATGAGGGTGGTGATGATGCTGCTGATGATGACGATGACGACGATGCTGCTGCTGATGATGGTGGTGATGGTGATGCTGCTGATGATGAGGATGGTTCGGATGAGGATGGTTACGATGATGACGACGACAAAAACGACGATAACGATGGCGATGCTGATGCTGCTGTTATTGCTGATGGTGATGCTGAATGCTGATAATGACGACCATGGCGGCGGTGATGATGTGAAGGGGAACGAGGAGGAGAAGGAGGCTGTTATTACCTCTGAGACCACACTGCGGGTGTTGAGGAGATTTAGAAGGGTGAGGGGTGCGGTTGAACATCATCTGTGATTTGCAGAGGGCGCGCAATTCAACTCGCGAATGTCGCGCCGGCCCATTAAAATGGACTTCTATCCAAACCGCGCTCCGAAATTTATCCGCCTCATGAGCCCGATACGCCCTGTAGGGATTCCAGGGCTCATCGGTCATTTAGGGCCTATAGAGTTTATACAACTTACAAGGCTAATCTGGAGTACAGGGCTTATGGTGCTGATGTCGCTAAAGGGGGAAGCAAGGCTCGTCGGGACTATAAGGTTAGAATGCCGTATAGGGTTGATAAACTTTATAGGGCTGGTAGGACTGATAGATCAAAGCGGGCGTCGTCGGGACAACGATCGTGACACCAGTTGGGAGATCCATCGGGACAACCATCGGGGCATCCATCGGGGCAACGAACGAGACAACCATCGGAACAACCATCGGGACAACCATCGGGACAAGCATCAGGACAACCATCGGAACAACACCATCGGGACAACCATCGGGACAACCATCTGGACAAGCATCGGGACAACCATCTGGACAACCATCGGGACAACCATCTGGACAACCATCGGGACAACCATGGGAAACATCATCGAGACAACCATCAATACAATCATCGGGACAGATATCGGCACAACCACTGGGAAACATCATCGGGACGACCATCGATACAACCATCGGGACAAGCATCGGGACAACCACTGGGATAATCATCGGGACAGCCATCGCACCAACCGTCGAGACAACCATCGGAACAACCGACGGGAGAACCATCGGGGTACCCCGCCAGACCCGGGGTCATCCGTTTTGGTCTGCCTTGGCCTCTACTGGGGCAAGAACTCGCGCACGCGCACGCGCGTCACACCTCACGTTTCACTTCGGTCTCACCCCGCGGTCTCGTCGAGACTCGCGGTTTGGGGGGGGCGTTCTTCTGGTCAACACGTCCCCCTGGA